GTATCATTTCTAATGCTACAGAGGGAGCTGCTATCAGTCAGTGTCCTACTAGTGTCGCTTGTAATGTTAATCCTTGTCTTAATGGAGGGAAGTGTATAGCAGTCCTGGTTAATGGCATTATAGAGGAGAGGTGTCAGTGCTCACTGCCTTTCGCTGCTGGAGCAAAGTGTGAACAACGTAAGTCATTTAATGAAAATAAAATGAATGAGTATATATTAAATGATTAATAATAAAATGATTTATAATAAAATTGATTTTTTAATTATTGTAGGAGTTTCGTTTAGTTCTGCTTTTTTTGCTGGTGATGGCTACCTTCTGTTTCCAGCTGTTAATATTCCTCTTAGCAGGTTAACTATAAGAACTCTTACACTCTTTATATAATATATATTATCTTCCATCATTAAATATCTCTCCCTCTCCACTCTATAGTATTACAATACATACTGAAATAAGATTGTCTATCATTCCTAGCAATGGATCAGGACTATTACTCTATATTGGCCATGTAAGGGAGAATTTCACACACACACACCCACACACAGTACTACATGTATGTATTGTACATTTACTTACATGCACATTAAATTTTTTATCTGCTTATCTAATAGAGTTCTATAAAAACTTATTTTATCAGAATATTAGACTATTTTTATTGTTTAATGTTATGTATAAATTTAATTTTATTCGTGTACATGCTTATCTGCCTATGGTAATACAGTTCCTAATAAAGGAGCGTTTGTTAGTACATATCTATAAAAAAACTAATTTTGTCAGAATATTGGACTATTTTATTTTTTATTGTTTAAATTTATTCTTAGGCTAATCCATCGACTGGTAATTATTTACTGGTTGGTATGAACGAAGGAGTGTTAGAGTTCCGTTTTCAACTGGGCTCTGGAGTTGGTTTAGTTGAAACTAGCCAACCATTAGCGATAGGGCAGCAGCATAACATCACACTATTGAGGTAACTTTAAGTATTATGTACTCTTGATAATACATGTACATGTACTTGTTGATTTTTAACTCACATACGCATACATGTATACTGTATATGTATTATTACTAGACGAATGTAAAACATTAAAGGGGTGAGCCTAAGCAAGCTATAGATTATGTGCTGTATGATATACATGTATGAGCTAGCAAAGCAATTGCACATGTCTAAATTCAGTATCTTGTAGTCATCTTGCTTAAATTAAAGTTATCTTGCTTATAGTTAGAAGCAGTCACTGAAAAAATCATGTTTGAAGATTGTATTATTATAATGGTTTATGCATGTATGTAAGAATTATATGTACAAACTAATAATAATGATGGAGGTGCATGATTCTTCCTATTGCATCACATGTAATATTATGCATGTAATTACATGTACATGTATATTTTTATTTTTGTTTTTATTATACTGTATTATTGATAATAGTAATAAATATTTGCATTAATACTGTAGGACTGATTATAGAGGAAGAATATTAATGTCACAAGGTAACACCACAGTGTTTACTGATGGAATGTCTCAGGGTTCATCAAGACACTTGAATCTTTCGCCGTACGACTTTGTACTGTTTCTAGGTAAGAGATTTTATAAAGCTTTATTATGTTCAATGCATAAATGTGTATTTAGTTTCATTTCTCATTTTTTGTGGGCAGGGCTTTTCACAGAATTTTGGCATAGAGCTTATGCAGCTTCTTATCAGTTGTGGCCAAAGACCCTGTACTATATATAGTACAGGGTATTTTGACAAAAATTTAAATGAAGAGAATTTTGATTAGAAATTTTTTTCTGGTGCATATACATGTTTTAATGTTGTTTAGAAAGTTTGAGCTGATCCCGATGAAATTTAAAATTTTTATGAATTTTTAAAGTTACTCAAAAATTGAGCAAAATACCCAAGGCTATAGCCTTTGGTCATCAGCCAAATTTTGTCAAAAATAGCATCAAGAGAATTTTCCATTTTAAAATTTTTTTCTGGTACATATACATGTTTTTATGTTGTGTAGAAAGTTTGAGCTGATTCCGCTCAAATTTGGATTTTTTATGAATTTTTGAAGTTGCTCCAAGTGCAAATATGTACTCATAAAACATCCTATTTATGCTCACATAGCAAGCTTTGTGGGAAACTTTTTTGTGGGTACATTTTATCCTGTCTTGTACATATACATGTACATGTACATGTAGCTACCAGTATTCATGCCTGTGTAATATCATTAGTCAAATAATGGGCCTGGAAAGCTTTTCACTATCTGTGTGCATGTATATGTATATACTACTTCATATCTAATAAATAGAAAATTTAAACTATTTTTGGTTATTTTGATTGACATAGATGTACATACACTATAACCTCATTATTATTTTTATTCTAGGCGGAGCCCCAAATGTTCCTCTCATATCTCAGCAAGTTTATCAAACTGGTTTTTCAGGATGTCTAGTCTCAGTGGTTCAGCTTGGCTATTCAATGAATCCAGAGCCAGTTCCATTTGACACTTCATCAGTCGGGGAGAATGTAACAACTTGTTCATAACAGTGACCCTGTTTTTTATGTTTTCACTTATAACCAATGTCATAATTTTTACATTTTTAATAACAAAGTTAATTATAGTGCTCATTACAAAAAAATAAAGTTTATAACCTGAGGTCATCAAATGTTATGAGGGTGAAATTATTAAGGAGCAGTGATAGTAATATCACATTGCAATGAGAGCTAAATTACATGCAGCTACTATGAGTGCATCCATAGGGGTAGGAACTGGGGGGGCAGGAGGGGCTTAAGCCCCCGCAACTTTCATTGAAGGGGGGCTTAGCCCCTCCAACTTTAAGTGATATACATGTATTACTATTATCAACACTATAGACTTTAGTTTAGGTAATCCTTATATGTGTGCATATTGTGTGATGATTCGTTTAATAAAACAATTAATACAATCTAGCTTCTAAGAACACACTAGTTTTTTCAGAAATACACAAGCTTCAACATTAGCTTTAGCTGAGCATAGATTTTCGATGTTAAGGAGATGAAAAAACTACTTGTGCTCCACAATGTCACAAGAGCGTCTTAATCATGTAGTTATTTAGCATACTCATAAAGAATTTACAGACAATTTATACATCGAGGACATTGCAAAGGAATTCATTACATTTAATGAGCATAGATGCCAATATTTTGGACAATATTAATTTCAGTACAATGATCAATTGTTAAATCATGCTCCTATGATTTCCAATAAATAATACCTTAGCCCCCCCAACTTTTAGTTTGTTCCTACCCCTATGAGTGCATCCATGTATACAATACATATATAGAATAGTAGATTGGGATGTAACAACTGTGGCATTAATGTTTATATCAATTAAATGTAGCCAGGGATAATGTAGCATTATCCCATTCCAAAAATTTTGTGTTAGATAGAAGAAGTACACAGGATGCCTATCAATGACTGACAGTGCCAGTTTTATACTGTCATTTTTGAAAAGTCTATTGTGGGTTGCAACTTTTGTTATGATAGTCATATCTAGCTTTGTGTTTACACAGCACAATTTGACCTGTTTCTCTGTATGAGCAAGCCATTCTATGAACTTCAAAGGGGACTATCTAAATTGACTGGTGTGTCTTGTGTTGTCTGATTACATTAAAAAAACAGCCCACCTACTTGACAACTGCCAATGCAGTTGTAAGGTCTATGCAAATAGCTGTATATAGATCTGGCATGTATTAAGAACTATGCAAAAAGGTGCCTCAAATCAATAAATCTGATTAAGACAATATGTTCATTCCAAGTGTTTACTTTAATTATTATTAGGTGACTGTGTTTTTAATGTTTTCAGTTTGTTAATCCATTTTTGTAAGTGATACATACTTAACCAGAGTCATAATTTTACATTTTAATAATAAAATTAAATATAGCGTTCATTATGATAAATAAATTGCATTGGATTTGAATAGCCTGAAGTGATTAGGGTTCTGGAACTGCAATTAGCAGCAGTTACATATAATTGTCATGAGAATGCAATACTACATGTAGCTACTACATGACTAAGCATCTGTTACTAAGCATCCATAGCTACATATAGTATTGCAATGTCATGACATTGCAACTGACCTGCATAGAATAGTAGTATCGGGTGTAGTCTGTAGGAGTCATTGTATATAGTTTAGTATGTAGGAGTTTTTATTGTTTATGCCTCATGAGTCAGCAATAACATACCACATAAGGGGAATTTCCTATTAAATTTCAATTATACATGACTACAACATCCTTTGACAAAGCCTGAGTTCAGCACTTCTCAAGACAAGTAAACAACATGAAAATAGTTGCTAATGGCTAAAAGCTTCAGCAGAAACGGTAAAACATATGAATTGTATGTATTGTTATTGTTTTATTTTAATTTTTTAAAAATAGATCACAAACTCATTGGAAGATTTAGTCACCACACAGTGGTGGTAGGTGATTCATTGTATGCATGGGCTGGTGATCAAGTTGGTTCACCTAAAGTACATGATAATGAAGAGAAAAGAAAGTTTATCAGCAAAATACAAAAATTTACTCCTTCAACTGGTCACTGGATTAATAAGGATACCACTGGTTTTCCTCCATTAGGAGTGAGGGGATACTTTTGCACTGCAATACATAATCAATTGTATTATTTTGGAGGACATTGCAACCATGATGAGTGCTATCACAACAATATCACACAGTTAAATACTGTCAGCTTTCAGTGGAGGGATATAGAATTAACTGATGCAACTAGACCAGTTATGAGGAGAGCTAATGGTGGAATGTTGTCATTCGAACATGATGGCGTACACCATTTACTGATGATAGGTGGAATAGGATCCAAACCAGCTGTGCAACTGCAAGGCAATAGCTATACTAATTTATCTAATGAACGATGGCGAACCAATGAGCACTCAATGTATGAATTATCAAGCCAAGGTATCAAGAGTAGTGTGGTAATTTTACATGTGTAATCATAATTATTTTATTAGGAAAATGGAGTAGTCCTTCTATCATTGGGGAATGTATACCGCCTGCTAGTAGCTTTGTCTTTGAAAAAATAAGTAATACTCGGGCTGTTCTATTTGGTGGATGGTTCAATGGCATATGCAGTAGTGCTCTCTATTTACTAGAAGTATCAATATCACTTAATATAGTAGTATGTTAAGAATGCATTGAAAAGTTGTACATTGACTAATACCGTATAGTAAGAATGGTATTAGATAAATTTATTTCTTTAGTACTGGCAATGTGTCAATAATCAATCACCTTCATGGCCTGTTGGAAGATGGGGGCATGCAGGTGCAATTATCAATGGAACTTTTCTAGTGATTTCAGGAGGAATGGATGAAAATAAAACATTTCTGAATGACTCTTGGGCCTATGATATCAACCTTTCATCATGGAAAATAGTGATTATATGCTTATAAATTTTATTTTATATTATGGTTCTTTTTAATGTAGATTCCTGTACCAGAATCATTTAGTCGGAGAGTTTCTCAATCATTGTCAGTGATTTACACAGAATTTGATTGTGTGTGGTTGGTGTCAGTTGGTGGATTAGCATTGAATAGAAGTCGTGAGCGACTTCGTTCTCAAACTTGCATTTCTGATGATACAACCTTAATTGAGATAGGTATAAACATATAATTTAGTGTTATTATTAAGCCTACATTTCCTATATGACAATTGTTATTTCTACTAAAATTGTAGTGCATGTGGTTAAGCATAATATTTTACTTAGATCAAATATTTTTGTCACCTAAAGAAAGTCAAGAAAAGTACTATGAGCAGTTGAAGTTACAAGGAAAGGATCAAATGATGGATCATGGCTATCAAACAAGAATGAACATAGAAATAGCACAAATTGACAATACAAAACAAGCTCTTATGAGAGATCTTCTTGTAAAGGAAAGTGAAGTCAAGATAATGCAGCAAGAACTACGAATTCAAAGAGATGTTTTGAGTACTAAAATAAAAGAGAAACAGGAACAATCTCACAAGCAGCTACAGCAGGAAGAGACTGATTTTAAAGCTAAAAGAACATTTCAACAACTGCAATTGCAAAAACAGGTATGTTGAATTAGTAACAATAATGCTTAAACACAATACTTTAAAGCAGGATAATTTACACAGAAAAATGACCCAAACAGTAGAAGCATCTACTATGACTGATGCTCAATTTCAAAATGGTATGGTGATAGCTACTTAGACTATTTTGTCATCTTATATTTCTTACTTCAGAAAGAAAATTGCATATGGGTCCTATTAATCATGATTACCAGTATCTAATCTCTTCACTTGGTAAGCCAATGTAGACTTCATTATGCTAACGGTATTTTAGATAGTTTTGAAAGTATTGATGTTCCTGAAAAGCAACTTTTCATCATTGAGGGGGATTCCTTGCATTTTTTTAACTGGGAAGAATATGGTTTAAGAATCACAGTTCATCGAGGAACTGTGCTGCCTTCTGATACTCTTGGGATAGCTGTTGGTGCATTTATTCAAGGAGGGCAAAAATTTCCAGAAGATACTGAGCTAGTCAGTGCTGTTTATGCTGTAATTTTCTCTAAGGCTCCTTTGAAACCCATTCAACTGGAAATGCAACATTGTGTTTCAGTAGAATCAGCAGTTCACAGCAGTTACCTTAGCTTTGCTTCTGCACTTTTAACTAAGCCTCCTTACAATTTTCAAATAAAAGAAGGAGGGACTTTTCCATCTGGTAATCGATACGGCTACATTAGTACATCTAAATCTCATCTTTGGTCTCTAATCATTAAACCCTTTAGAAGACGGCATGCAAATTGTAAGATTTATGTCGACTGAGATTATGCTTTAATATTTTGTTTTCATAATTTAGATTTATCTTTTCCCAAACAATACTTTTGTCAAGTTGTGTATGAGATCAAAATACCCGGAAGAAAATGGAAGATGAAAATTTTTTTTGGTAAAGATCTTGGTGTTATCATAAAGGTAATTATTGTACAAATCAACTGTAGTGTATGACTGTTGTTTGCAGCACTTACAGGGAACACTAAGAAAGCAGCAAACTGTTAAAGAATTAGACTTAACATTTCAATTTGAAATTGTTGATGAGCATATAGAATTTTGTTTTGATGCTTGCAGAGAAATCCCTGGATGGACAATACAACCACATGCCTTCCCTATAAGGGTATAAGTAGATCTAAGCACAATCAGAATTATCAAACTTTGTTTATAGGCCAGCCAGGAGGCAATTGATAAAAATGACCGGCTTTCCTCTTTTCCATATCCACCACAATTAGTTACAATAAAAGCGACTCCTGGTATTGACACCAATTCAGTGCTGAGTTATCCCATAGAACTAAAAGGAATCAAAAGTGATATTGAAAAGCTAAATATTGTACTAACAATGGGTAAGTAATGTGAACAAATTTTGGACAAATTTTGAACTCTCCTATGCCATAAAACATACTTATTATTCTAATGCTTCATTATGACTACATGCAACTTATCATTATACATGTAGATGATGTTGTTCAGCCACCTGTAAGTGCTAGCACTATACAGTCATCTTCATTGCCATTTTCTCCAGGTATTTATAAACTCAAATACACTTTATTATTCCAATCATAACTATTATTATTATATTAGGATGTGAAGTAGCTACACCAGTGCTTAAAAAAAACTTTGATTCACTTCTTGAAATGCTAGCAGTCTCAGACAATCTTTTAATATTGACAATGGCCTTATATAGTAATGAACTAATAACTAAAGATACTGTCACTGAAATCAAAAATACTGGCAAATCAGTATGTGACAGGAGTGCTTCACTTTTGTTAGCACTTGAAGCTACTATTAAAACTCAGCCTCAGTCAATAAAGACTTTAATTGAGGTATTGAAAACAAAAGAAGCTTTTAGAATTATAGCTGAACAAATGGAGAAAGAACTTGGTTTACATAACTATAATCAGTAATTTGAATCATATTATTATGTAGCATGTCGTTAAAACAAAAAATTTAGTTCTGAAGCCTTTAACAGGCACTAATTCCAGTATGTAGTTTCCCCTTGTTAGGTGTTCATCCATGAACAACAGTATCATCCAAAATTGGCTACTATATGCATCTTAGTATTGAACTGTACCACTTTTAACAATAATACCAAAAATAACAATAAAATCATTATTATTAACTATCATACAGACTTTTAATATCTCTACTGTTTAATCAAGTTTCACATCCATCATTAATTACATTATTGGAGAGATAATTATTAATGTCATATATTCTCCATTGAAATGGATAAATGTCATTGTCCCAATCAACAGTTGAACCAAAGACCCACTGATGATGACTGGATCTAACCTTGCCCTCTGCTCCATCCAACACGGTTCCATCTTTATCAACCAGCCTGTATCTCTCCTTTGCAAGGAAGGACACAGCAAGTAAAAACTCCATTCTAGCTTGAGTTGCTTCTTCGCCTAACTCTTTAGCAACTTTAAAAGTCATGCGACCATTTGAATACGAAATAGACAATGACTCCAACCTCGATTTAGAAGTTATTATTTTCTGTCCAAGCCATGAAACCACATGCTCATCACCAGGTGAAGCTGTACCAAACACTGATCTCACTCCGGTGAGCTCCAAACGTTTTATCGACTCGATTTCTAATTTTCCTTGAGAGTCCTGTGGAAGAGATGAGAAAGAGGTTTCGACTGCTTTGAAGAGTTTCGGTTGAAGAATGCCTTCTAGTTCGTTTCGTTCGTTTGAAAATAACAGCTTACCCACCAGCAGAATTGCATCTTTGGCTCCATTTAAGAAACTCGATGTGTCAAATCTGCTTCCATCCCAGTTACGTACAACCCTCCTCAATAGGAATAGACCGGCTATCCTGTGAAGTAGGCGGTCGGTTGGGAGGGGACCCCGGGCATGATGTGGCCATGGTAATGGATAGGAACTTGAAGCATTGTGAGCTTTACTAGAAGACAGTAGTCGAAGTGAGGAGAGCATTGTTGAAGATCGAATTGAAGATGGTCTTAATGAAGGGAATAAATATTTATTGTACCGAATCATGTTGACTGCTGAGATTGAGGCCATTTGTCATTTGATTTGAGGGAGTGCAGGTTAAATATTTATGAGCCAGACTCGACGACGGCTTGTGTTTTGAATGGTTATGGCTTCTCCATCGTGTTCTTGTCACTGCGCCAAGGCTTTCAAAGGGTTCACAAGAGAAGAATTGATGCATAATATCACAGAAGTTTGGAAAGATCTTGAAAACTTCCCGGTTTGGAATAGAAGGATAAGTTGGGAAGTTATTATGTTATCTAAGGGAGTCTTCACACACTATTCTTTGCTATTTACGACTCCTGGACACAATGAAGGGTTTGTAATTCACTTAAAAGTAGCAGGTGAACACAATGAGACGGTATTTTCATTGGACAAAGTGGAAGATATCAGTAGCTTCAGTACACTAAAGAAAACTGAACTTGGTGCAACGGAACCAATAGACGCCTGGACAGTAATCGTGAAAGCACATAATATACTGGTCAGTATGGGGTCTTACCATGAAACTTTTAACAACTGTCAAGACTACTGTCAGAAAGTGGCAAAGGAGTTGGGGGTCTCTCGTCCAGTGACTGGGTCTGATGTTGCTGTTGCTGGAGCTGTTGGTGCTGGAATCCTTGGAGCGGCTGCGTATCTCTTGTACCAGCTTGGCAAGAAAGATGACAAGAAAGATGATGATTAATACATGTACATCAATATGAACATCCATTATCAACTCATGAACAACATACATGTACAGTTTGATTTAATGCTACTTAAGATATGATTGTACAAACTAACATTGCACCAATTAAAAATTGAATACATGTTGTTTTAAATTTCTGTATCAAATTTCTGATCCTGACTTTCCCATAAAGCATGTATTAGCTTGCAATTGTGTAATAGTGACATCATCAGTGTCTAAATCCCAATAATAATAATAACAATAATAGGTTCAGAATACTATAATACAATAAGAGAACACAAAATACAATATAATAATGATAACAATAATAATAATAATAATTCACACATGTATTGTCGGAACAAGTTACATCTGACATAATAATAATAATAATAATAATAATAATAATAATAATAATAATAATAGTATACATTATAATAGGGGAACAGTCCAAAACCAGAAAGAGGGCCAATAAATTGAAATAATAATAATAATTGATGAAAATGGCTGATCTCATGATCCTGTCTTGATTCTTTTCAGTGGATGAGTGAAGGGGATTCCTTGATCATGCTGTCCTATGTACGGCTTGTTGTATACACTGGATGAATGAGACCTCTCTCTTGAATTGTGATGTATCGAGCGTTTGTTACCAGCCTTGTGTGAGGAGGAGAGAAAAAGAGAAAATATAGAGAGAAAGAGAGCATGTGAGAGGAGAGAGAAAAAATAATTTTAAAAATGAAAGAATGATTGGAGGAGAAAAAGAAAGATAGAGTGGATACTGTATAGTGGGAAATTATATGGAGGGACTAAAATTTGGTGAATTGCTAAATTTTAGTGATTGGCGAAATTTAATTTGGCGAATATGTGGCCACGTGCTATTGAGCATGCGTATAATGGCTCAAAATGGCAGATTTTTATTTTGGTGAATGGCTATCAAAACACCAAATATGCCAAAATTAATCACCTCTAAAATTTCCCGCTATATGGTGCATGTAAAAAATTAAGCAAGAAATTTAAGAAATGAAGGAGAGAATAATTGTACTATAAATAATTGTACAAATCCCTTACCTTTAATAAAGTATATACGGGCATTATGTTTTCCTTTCTCTCTTCCACGTTTTCTACTATCTTTAACTTTAACTTTGTCTTAGTGACACTGGAAGATAATGGTGGCCTATAAGGAAGAGGAGGTGGTGGGGGAGACGGAGTATTAACAGTTTGTGAGTCGTGATGGTGATGGTGATGATAGTGAGTATCATGAGAATGATAATCGTATGCTGTGTATGAGTGAGTTCCATTAGAAGGAGGAGGGGGAGGGGGAGGAGGCGGGGGAGGGATGGGATGAACGTGAGTATATATCTCATAAAAAGAGAATCACATCATTAACATGTCATGTACATGTATACATGTACGCATCATTTATAATGACATAATTATTATAATTTAATATAATTTACTATTATACTGTACATGTATATGTACACTGTACTACAATGTACACTACTAATAGTCTACCAAATCAACATTTGCTTGCTTTTTGAAATAAAAACTTCCAAAAATACATAATGTACATGTACATGTACATGTACATGTACACTAATGTACATGTATGTCAGTGTTCCCCACAAAGCATGCTAAGTGAGCTAAACAGCATGAGCTTCATGAGCTGACAAGCACTACAATACAGTACATGGCGTTTGGAGCAAGTTTAAAAATTCATAAAAAATCCAATTTTGATCGGAATCAGCTCAAACTTTCTACACAACATAAGAACATGTATATGTATCAGGAAAAATTATAAAAATTAACAATTCTCTCAAAGCCATTTTTGAAAGAATTTGGCATTTGACCAAAGGCTATAGCCTTTGGTCGTTGGCCTGATTTTTGAGTAACTTTAAAAATTCATAAAAAATCCAAACTTGATCAAAATCAGCTCAAACTTGCTACACAGCATAAGAACATGTATATATATCAGAAAAAAATTATAAAAATAATGATTTGGCTCCTAGCCATTTTTTTTACAAAATTTGACCAAGTCCCTGTACTTGGCCTGTATCTTTAATCTAATCTTTATTACCTTTAGTAACAGAATGCAAATATACTGATGCACACACACACACACACACACACTTTAGATGTACATGTACACTGTACTTACAACAGATTCCTGTAAAAGTGTTTCATAGTTGCTCAAGACAATGGGCTGGACGGTCATGCCCCATAAGTTAGGCAGGAGACTCTTTGGCTGTAAGATACAAGCACCAGGTCTGCAAGGCATGCCATAGGAGACTCTTATCTCTTGTCCTTGAAAGGAATATCCATTGAGATTAAACTGGGCCTCTTCAGCTGAAAATGATGAATTGAAATCGATAAAGGCAAAACACCTTGGACAGCCATTGGGAGCTGTAGCAGCCTAAGGAGAGAGGGAGAGAGAAATTAAAGAAATAAGAGAAAAGATGGAAAATATAATAAAGTACATGTACATGTGATGTACATGTACGTACATTAAGTAAATTAATTACCCAGAATGTACACACAAGTTACATTCTCTTACCTGACAAAAGTTAATGGTACCATAAACTTCAAACATCTTCTGGAGAACTAAATCATTCTTAAAAGTCTTTGGCAGTCGATCAACAAACAGTGTCTTTGAATTAACATCAGCAGTTGTCTCCATACTGTTATCAGCAAAATCTACTCTCAAGTGATGCCCACCAAACTCTCAAGTGACCATATCAAACACTGATCTCACTCCGGTGAGCTCCAAACGTTTTATTGACTCGATTTCTAATTTTCCTTGAGAATCCTGTGGAAGAGATGAGAAAAAGGTTTCAACTGCTTTGAAGAGTTTCGGTTGAAGAATGCCTTCTAGTTCGTTTCGTTCGTTTGAAAATAACAACCTACCCACTAACAGTATTGCATCTTTGGCCCCATTTAAAAAACTCGAAGTATCAAATCTGCTTCCATCTCAGTTACGCACAACCCTCCTCAATAGGAATAGACCGGCTATCCTGTGAAGCAGGCGGTCAGTTGGGAGGGGACCCCGGGCATGATTAGTCTCGGCATGATGTGGCCATGGTAATGGATAGGAAGTATTGTGAGCTTTACTAGAAGACAGTAGTCGAAGTGAGGAAAGTATTCTCAAAGATCGAGATGAAGATGGTCTTAATGAAGGGAACAAATATTTATTGCATTGAATGGAAAACGAGAAAGGCCTCAAGAAAGACATGTTGATTGTAGGGAGTGAGGGTTAAATTCATGTGCTTGACAACGCCCATCAATATGAGATAGCCACTGTACTGGGTCTTGTTAAGACTACTGTAAATTGTCACAGAAGCAGGGGTCTGTAGTCCAAAATACCATTGTATACCGATTCTGTTGCATACCATTGGTTAAGCATAATATTAGTATCAGAGCTACACGCAACACAATACTGTTTAAATGCTTACTCTTAATCATAAAATCATATAAATAATCATCACAATGGTTATAATACTACATAATGTCACTATAAAAATTATTTTTCATTGTTAAAATTGTTACACAAGCCTTTTTTCGATATACGAAGCAGCAGTTACCTCATCGCAATTCCTTAATACTTCCAAAAAATCTTCCCAAGACCCCTCCTTATTTGTTATCCACCAGTCAATGGCTTTTTCTGTCGGAAACTCACAGTCATAATTATCAAAATTTGCTTCTTTCTTTAATTGTTCTTTCTTATCTGTCGGGATGCAAAGTTCAGACAGCAAATGCTGAAATGATTTTGTAAATCCAAATTTAGCATGACGTAGTAACTTAATAACTTCAGAAGCTTCAAATGGAGTAGAATAGCCTATATAAAGAGTTTGCATCACACTTGCGCTAATTTGTGTATAAATTACTTTTGGCTTTATGTGCATCTTTGTCCTCATTCAAAAAATCAATATCTCTTGTCAGTCCTGTAGCACAGTCATCAACAACTGTGGGGGTTTTAGCTATAAAATAAGTATAGGTTATACACCGAGGTAGAGGTTTCTATGGTATTTATTAACCGAGCGACGCAGTCGCTCAGTTAATAAATACCAAGTGTTCCCGGGAGGTATCTAATAGATTAGAAACCTGGTATTCTGCAATCTGATTGGTCAATTACAACTAGGCATGATAGAATTATACCAAAATTCATTTAGTAACATAAACAGGACATACATGTACATGTACCTTGTTTTGGTTTAGAATTCTCATCCTTTTTCTCTATAGTGATAAACAAAGTAAGAGTTAATAGCATAAGCACAAATGCTTACTTTCAGATGCCAAAAAATACTTCCAGCGTTCTGCAAGGCCTTCTTCTTTCAAATATTCCCGTAATTCCTTTTCTATCCACACCCCAACATCATTGCATGACAAGATTCCAACATCAGACAAAGCTTGACGACCTTGATCACAATTAAGAGATGAATCTTTGTCTTGACAAAAAGAATAAAAGCCCATTTCCCAGTTCGGTAAAGGATCAAGTTTCTCCCGTAATTTCTAAACAAAAATTAAATTGCATTAGAATCAGGAAGTGATATTCATATTGAAAATTAATATCTTAAGCAATCATCAAAATTTAATGAAGTCTGAAGGGTTTGGTGGAAGAATATACATACAAATATACATACATATATACATACAATATACATAAGAATATACATACATGTATGTACAATACAAATGATAACAATGACCTACCTCTAATTCTTGCTGTAAAAAACGTCTGGCATTGTCTTTAGACACAATTTCTGTTCCATCATCACCAATACATGTACTAGCATACAACTTATCAGCATGACTTAAACAAATCAAAATAGGAATTCCTGAACTTTTAAAAAAATGTATCCACTTCAAGGCTGCATTAGTCTCCCACCTCCTAATACACGTATAAATGTAGTAATATGCAAAATAAAAAAAAGGTTAAACTAAAGTCACTCACTTAAAATCAAGAACAAACACAATTAATTGAGGAATGCGTAACAATAATTGTGAAGGCATCACGCCACTATCTCCATCATCTATTCCAGGAAAATCAATCACACTCAAACCATTAACAATGCCTTCTAAGTTATACAGAAAGGAAACAGTAGTACGCTGCATGCTAGTTGAACCAACAGCAGTCTGTACAAAAGATGATAGTTATAAAATTATATACACATATCTATGTACTTTTTGTCTGAAAAGTTTTTTGACAAGACATGATTTCCCAGAGTTACTAAGGCCCATAATCCCCACAGTAGTGTGAGAAGCCAATTCTTCTCTCAAACGATGAATATTTAGACACCAAATGATCCAGCGAGCAACAAGAGGACGAAATTGCTGCAAAACATGACATAAAAGGTTATTCTTAAAATAATCATCCCATTTGTTTACTAGGATTTTTACACTAGTTGCTGGTTTAATGTCTCTTCTGGAACACAAGTCAGCAAGTTGAGTTTCAAGAGAATAACTGATGTAGTTGGTATTGCAGCTAACAGTTTCATTAGATTTTAAACACTGCAACAAAAACTGCAGTTTACCAGCATAAAATTCTGAGTGCTGATCAGATGCTTGGTTAGATTTTGTAAAAATTCCCTTAATGTACTTCTCCACTTTCACAACCATTGCTTTACCCTTTTTACTGGAAGACATTTTCTCAAAGTCGATCATTCCTAAGCTAAACAGAGCCCAAACTCCAACAGCTGGTGGTGCTTCTGTGGTTTGAAGAATGTGAGCGGTTTCCAAAGGTGAATCTACTAAAGGCACTCTAATTCGCTGCTCCATAAAGCCTCCCAGTAATAGTGTACAGATTAGGAGCTCATCATTACAGATATTTTGTATAATTTTGAGCATTTCTTCATTATAATACTTTTTTGCTTCTTCACTAGATTTATCTAAAACACGAAAAATATCATTTTCTAATTCTTCAGCTTTCAGAGCATCTAATTTTTTCCGCCCCATTTTTAAAACATCAATTGGAGAAAGAAGCTTGCTACCTTTTCCATCAACTCTGGTTGCAAACAGCTCTCTAACATTAGCTCCACTTATTACTCGCAGGGTTGTCTTGAAACTGTTATCCACACAATATTTTTTTGCTGTTTCTCGGAGCTTATTCATCATGGCAAGAAGAGTGCTTCTGTCCAAGGGTTGAAGTGGATTCTGATGAAGCCTCACAGGATTACTTTGGACAACTTCAGAAAATGACCTTGGCACAGGTACCGGTACATGCACATTTAGAACAGAAGGAATAGGTTTACCAGAAGAACTCATTTGGCTAATAACCTGAAGACAATGACGCTGCAAATGGTCCAAAAATGCAGGATCAGAGCCAACAGCCAAATTCATATATGCTATTTCCAAACCAGCTGCTAATTCAATGGAAGGAGGAGGTGGATCAATAGAAAAAAATGCTTCAGTGCATTTCCATGCAATCTCTTGAGGCGAATTAGCAATGGTATAACAAATGCTTTCAATTGGAACTATTCGTGCTGCTGCTTCTAAAAACCTGCATATGGTTTTGTAGCGTTTTGACGCTACACCATCTGAAGTACACTCCAGTAAAGCAGTCAGAAAACTCAAAGTAATGACTTCACCAGGAGTACATATAGCAAGTTGTCGCTGGCGATATGATATATGATATTCACCCTAAAAATATTGTGAAACAGCAGTAAATAATAAATAAAATTATCATATAAGGTATGTTCACTACTTATACATGCAGAAATTTTAGATTCTTACGATCTGGGGGCGTAGCCCCAAGTTGTTCCTATAATTGAATGACCCACGTGCAATGTTTGTATATACATGTATGTATGTCACACTATATATAGTATATATATAGTCACACTTTTATATACATGTATATAGTCACA